AGATGGAAGAGGAGTACGTTAAATGCGCTTCATTTCCGCCTCTTGTTCTGATTTTGGCGCCGCAGGTTCACGATATACGACTTCTCGAAGAACAATCGGCGGTCATACTATCCACACAATCAGCCAGTCGTCACGTCTATTAACAGCGACGATGACGATCCTGTCATCGTCCTCCAGTCTGCGACAAACACCCTTCTGCCGAATACCACTCTTGTCGATCGCACGTCGGCAGGCTCGCCGTCGCCAGATATGGAGCAGAGTGGCGTGCACCCGATGACCCTCCCGCGGACATCAGAGTCTGTCGACCAGCGGCCACGGCCGTCTGAGTCTGTGAGTCGCCGCACCACTGTCAGCCGCCGCTCAGAAGCCGCGGACCACCACTCTCGTCGGCCCACCCCATAGCGCCTCGCCCCAACATTCGCCTCCGTCCTCTTGCTCGTTCCCAGGATCCAGGACACAACCCTACTCTCCTTGCATAGTCTCACCGCCCTGCCTGCTGCTGGGCCCGCTCACTCGCACACTCACTGTCCGCTCCATACTTCTTCTCTTTGCTGCATCTTCCTAATCTGTCCAACGGTCGAGGCGGGCTTCGGCGCTGTACACCACCACGCTCATCAACCTTCTGCTCCCATCCCCATCTCATTATTGGCTTCGAACCTCTCAGGGACACTCGTGCGCTTGTATTTTGTATTCTTCGGGCACGTTCAGATATCCTACTGCAGTACCCTCACTAGTAGCTTAATACTGTATACCACCCTCTTTCGCTTGTTTCTCTCTTATTGCTTGGTCTCGTGGCAGTATTTGCCGACACAAACACAAACACGGGAAATACTCCTTTGCGAGTCGTTCTCCGCTGCATACGCGGAGGACCATGGCCTCTTGCTTCGTTGCCGCTTTCTTGCTTCCTAAGATAGGGGAACAGATAATAGATAGTGTACATGAACCTCGACAACAGACATCATTGCGATACAGCGGAGATAGCTTGTGTGACAGGGAAACGGGGGAAGACAAGTGCAGTACAAGAGACAGGTGAAGCTGTGTGGCGGAACAAGGGACAGAGGAGATCGTGCAGTGCGATGGAACATGGAACAGCGCGGCAAGAAGCCAAACCTAATAATCAGGAAATCCATAGCCAAGAGAAGACTGCGGGCTCCGTCGTCACAGGGTGCTCTGCCGGTATGAGCCCGCCGTCTCGTTTCTCATGCCGCGCGTGAGCATCATGAGAAGATTCTCGATCCGCGCCTGACGGTCCTGCATGCGGAACAAAGGGAGGGGGGAGGTCATCACACCGTCGCTTCTCCCGCAACCAGCAGCAGTACAGCAAAAATAATACGCACCTGGAGTTCCTTCATCTCCTCCTTGAGCCTGTTCACAGGCAGCGCGCGGATCTCGTCCACGAGGCCCTCGAGCCGCCGCACCGCACGCTCGTCCACCGCGGGCGCTGCAGCAGTGCCCGCGCCCGGCGGCGCGAGCCGTTCGTGCGACGCCGAGATCGTCCTGCGCCCGGCGCCTCGCGCGGTGAAGAGCCGGCTCAGCGGGCTGCGCGGCCCCGCCGTCGGGAGCTCGGCGCTGTTGTACGGCGCGACGAGGTCCGGGAGCGCCGTCGCGCGCATGGCGGGCGACCCGCCTGGCGGCGAGCGCGGCGAACGCGGGGTGCGGAACGAGCGCAGGCTCGTCGTGCGGCGGGGCCCGCGCGGACGGCGCGCGGCTGAGCCCGGCGACGGCGGCCGTACGCTGTCGCGCGAGCGCGCCGAGGTCGGTGCTGGCCGGTCGTCGCCGTCGCCGTCGTCTTCATCGGACGCGAAGAGCTCGTACGCCTCGGGGGCGTCGACGTCGAAGATCGCGTCGTACAGGTCTGCCGTGCTGGCCCCGACAAGGCGCTCCAGGAAAGGCACGTGTTTCACACCGCGGAGGGCGCTGTTGTACAGGTCGTGTGCGGTCGCACTGCTTGATTCACGGAAGTGGCGCCCTTGTGCAAGGTAGCGTTCGTAGATCGCTATGGCAATGAGCCACGGGAAAGACTGTCGAGAACAAAAGTTAGTACAATGTTCAGGGTATGCAACGTGGTAGGAAGCGCATACGGTGAGCTTAATGAGAAAGACATTGGCAGAATGAAGAGCTCTCGGTGTCAGAATACAAGACAAGGGCCACAAGATCAAGAATGCAAATAGGTTGAACGGAGGTTGGTAGCTGAACAGCGCGTCTGATTTGACTCTAAAGAAAGCTCAACACGAGGCTGCAGCACCGTCAGATGTAGCCACGCACCCTTCAATCGTTGATATCGCGAATTGAAACAAGTACTGCGGCAATTGTCAGGTCGTGCTACGGCAGCTCTACTACAAGAAACGCACCTCCTGCGTGGCGTTCTGCACAGAAGACGATAAGCCAGAAGTAGCTCAAAAGGTAAAAGATATACATACCGCGTCGATACGAGCAAAAGTATTTGACAAGATGGAGATAAGGACTACCAGTCCCATGTCAGTACAACAGGACAAGTATAGAATTGTGTACACACTAGTGAGAAGAAGCGTATTAGACAACGCCGCGAAGCACGTCATGAGAATCGGGCCGAACACAGGATGAAAGCTCTCTGCTTGGGCAAAGCTGAGATACGTGTTTCCGAACCAGATCTGCACCATGAGCCATGCAGTACTCTTGACACTCCATTTGTCACCCGCTGCCGAGATCTATTAGCACGTTGAGAAAGCTGGCGCAGGGCAAGAACGAACCAAGGCTATGTAAGGTGTACAAGAGACCTGAAAAACAGATCGCCGCCATACCGATGAAAAAGATGAAATCTGCGGCCATTGCCCGGAGCGCTCTGCGACACATGAGAGTCGAAATATGGAGCGAGATTGCGCACGTACAGTACGACAACATTATTCTTTATGGCGAAGAACGCTAGTCTATCGGACGCAATACGTTCGGTGGATAGTAAAGGTACAGCAGCACAGAGACTCACCGAGGAAACAGAATACACGCTCCGCACGCCAAAATATCAAACGCGAGGTCTGAAGCGCCAGCTGCCCCGTAAAAGCGTTAGCAAAGCGAACCCACTTCAGAAGCGACGCATACATACGGTCGTGGTGTACAAGTCCTTTGATTCGGAAAACGAGATATAGTACGCATATGATGATGAACGAAGTGTCGAACACATTCCATATCTGCAGAGCGAACCATAAGCATTGTCAGTATTTGGAGGAAGTGAGGGACCCCACGTTTGCGATGTAAACTGGCATTCAGAAAATTAGTGGAATCCATGCACTCCAGGCCCTCACTTACTGCCCCAGCCATGTTCTTTCGATGCAGTGTACTCGTCCAAAGCAAATGCGGTCGCGAATATGATGAAGACGACCTCGAATGGCGTCATGTGATCCAAATCTTTGTCTAGATAGGGATATTGCATCACAAGAAACCTGCAAAGCTCGTGATGACTTACTGGACAGTGCAAGTAGAAACAGTGATAACAGCGCTACAAAATTGATGAACTCCAGTATGGCACCGTACCGCGGCACACGTAGTCGGTAGTGATCGAGAAACGGCTTGTTATGGGGATTGTAGATCTCGATTGACCGTGGCTTGTAGTTGTCCGCGAGAACCGAGTTGTATGACGTCATGGAGAAGATGACGCGCCCGCGGTATATGTCGTTCACAACCGCCTGCACGAGCGGCGAGGAGAGAAAGTGCTTGGATTGGGTGGCTATCGCCATCTGCGTCACGAATGAGCGATGTGCACATACGAAAGTGAGAGATGCGTTTGACCTCTAGTGCGCACTGCGGATCGCTCAGCTGTCCATCCCCTCCGACCGCGTCTCGCACGTCGAGTATCACCTCAGCGGGGGCTCCTGCGAGGGGGTTCCAACTCGCAGTGAGCGTCGACGCGAGCTGGAGCTCATTGCTCGAAAAACACGCGAGTAGCTTCATGGCGAGGATCTCGCATACGTGCGCACGCGTGAGCATGAGGCCCGAGTACGCCAAGTGGGCCGACACCTCGGACAGGAAGTGCGAACGCACGACGAAGCACGCATAGACGACGGCCGTGTTCTCGAGCTTGGCATACTTGAACACGAGTGGTCGAATAATGGCGAAGTTGATATCAGACGCGGTAAGCTGGCTGCATGGACGTCAGACCACGCGTTGCCAGACTAGCAAGAGGCACTGGAGTGGCACGTACTCCCAGCTCAGCGCCGAATCTAAGGGATGCCAGTGTCAGCGTGCCTATTAATTGGTGGTCGAGCTGGGAGTTACCAATATTCGTCTACGGCACGGACTCGGTGTCAGCGCAAACAATCGCGTCACGGATGTCAGAGACAAGCAGCTTGGGCCAAGCGTACACACCATAACATCTTTCTTGATATTCGGAATCAGCGGAAATACCTTGACTGACGCCAAGTATTCGGGAGTCGGTGCCAGGAGCTGATCCGACTGCTCTTCGTCGTTTCTGCGAGACATTCTCGTGTTTCTAGACACTACGTGTTTTTGAAAAGCCGTTACTTGGGCGGTTTCGCCTGTCAGGAGCTCAAACAGGCGGAGGACATGGATGAGCGGGATTCGCTGGCGCGTTAAGCGCCATGGTTCCCTGTACGTGCCTTAGCCGCACCTCCGGCGATGTCCGTCCGCACGCATGTCTGATTTACAACATCGCGGCTACCGCGATGTATCTTATCACGCAAGCTATGACATATGTAGTATAGCAATACAATACTAGTGTCGCCGCAACAAAATACATTCCTAGGCACTTGGAGAAACTGAGATGCTACGAAGACATGCTACGAAGACATGCTGTCCCCTTCCGTGCATAACACCCCTACCTGGTGGAGCTTCGGAAAGAGCTTCAGGACGAAATCATCGCAGCGATGCCAGCAAGCTCCGCGCAGCCCACTCGCCGGGGGCGCTGTGTACACTCCAACTTGCACCAGCTGTACGCTACGCTCCCCGACCAGTTCGAGCAGTATCGTTTCGAGGGCCTGCACGGACACGCCGTTGCGCCGAAGCGACCCCATCATGGCTTCTGCGGTCTGCGCCTTGTCATACAGCTGACGCGTTGGGGCTAGCTGCAGGTTGAGCTTCAGAGAGGAAGAGCGCGGACGCGAGCGGATGGTGCTGAGCGACGAGATGACGCGCCTCCAGGACAAAGACCGGCGGAGGTCTTCGCCACCGGCGAACGAACGGGCGCGCGAGCGGGTCAGGGGAACTTCGATGACAACGGTTAACGTGCGGAGGAGTGGAAGTTGGGCAAAGTCGAAAGTAGGGTGTTCATCTCCTTGGATGGACACTGAGATAGATGGCAAGAATTGTGAGAAAATATTGCGCGAGCGAATAGATAATACTAACCAGTTTCGCCCGCGGAGGATATCGTACACTTCAGGTTCTCGATCGTACGCGCGAAGGACTTCACAAGATCAATGCCGCCCGTGGTTTCCGCGCCGCACAGTGCACGTACGTCGAGTCGTCGGAGAGGCCTCTCGTAAGCAATTGCAGACTCGAGGATGTCGGAAACCGGGTATGGGCACGCCGAGTCGCGTAGAACAAGCGAAGAGACACGCGGGTGTGCATCGGCAGCAAGCGCAAAATCGCTCACGGGGAGCCATTGGCAGATATCTTCCAGATGCAGTTCTCCAATCGAGTCGAAACAACACAAGAGGTCGTAGAGGACCCTGGGATCGTGCGGGCGAGCATGACATACCCAGCCCTCGATGGACAACGAGTCGATGGTATGGAGTTCTTGACGTGGAGGAGCGAGGATACGTTGTCCCAGAAGGCCTCTGAGCCTTAGGGAACGCAGAGCGGGGAAAAGGGACATATACTGAGGGAGGTCTGTGCCAATGTAGGGATCCAGGTCAGCTATCCCCCATCTCAAAGTGAGCTTCTGGATGTACCGCTGTACGGTGGGGAACAGCGGAGATTGAACAAAGTTTTGGAGGTAGCAACTGTTCTGTGTCCGTTGCTCGCATGGATTCCCTGTCCTTGCGAAGAGTGACATAGAGTAGAAACAATGTTTCAGAGTGAGACTGTTCCACATCTTCGAGACACGAGAGCACGAGAAAAGCGTGCTCTTGTTCGTATTTCTTCGCCCGTCGTCAACGCGCACAAATTCGAACATAACATCAAAGACCTCGACGGGGAGGCGGTGGGTAACTCCTAAAGTAGTCGCAGAGGCACATCCCATCTTTGCGGGGAATCAACCGATAGGTATAAAAGAATATGACGAGAATCGGCACTCACTTGAGTACCAGGCGTCTCAAAGGATGGCTGGGACGACCTAACAGCAAACATCTCGTCAACAGACATCATCGCGCACAGATAGACATCATTCGCAGTTAGCGATGCAAAGGGGCAGGAGAGTGCAGGGGTCAGACGACTACTACTTATAAGTAAGCGTCTTGAGTGGACAAGCTAAGTGGAGAAGGGCCTGAATGGCTCCTCAATGTGTCACAAATCCACATCGTAACTGCGCTTGTACATGGAGGTGACGGATGTGGAGAAAGTCTCGTCCTCGGAGACTGCCGCACCGGATCACGGAGGCTGGAAAAAGCCCGTAGCACTACGGGCATGAGCTGATTTCAGATCACCTGAAATGTCCCGGTCAAGCCATCAAAAATGTTTCATTTTCGGAGACTTAACCGGGGCTTTCTGGTGTCCTAAAATGATAGATTTGCCACCACTTTCGTAGCCATTTGCGGTGCAGGAAAATGATAAATTTTGTGTAGCCTGAAATGAACCTGAAATGACTCAATATGGCTACATTTCGGTACGGCAAAGAGTTCATGTTTCAGAAGACTTTGTGGTGCATTTCAGGACATCTGAAAGAACATATGTAGAAATCATTTCCGCCTCATGTTTGCAATGAGGAAAGGTCCGGGCAAGGATAACTTTTGATGGTCCTGAAATTACCATTTATGGTAAATTTGTAGTACGTTTCTAGGACATTTTTGGCTTA